CCCACCCCTTGACACTGACGTCCTCCCTACAGATTAATGGCCAAAGACAGAAAGCATTATTCTGTTCTCATTAAACTTTCTTACTGCTAAGGCTTTCCCCTGGAAACTTTTAGGTTTAATATGTCACCCCCAAAAGATGCTTCCCTTCCCAAAAAACACTTACCGTGCAAAACACCAGGCGTGAGGGCTGTACGTTTCCCATAGCCATGAACTTAATCTATATCACTCTGAACTGAAAATAAATTCAAAGAGAGTCTGCATTTGTTTGTTTGGGCGTATGCCAGATGGCTTTTGGTCAGAGACAGTCAACGTAGTACCTGTGCTGCTGCAAAAGACTGCATAGATACTCAAAGATATTTCTTTCCCTTCTCAACAAAAAGACTGAATTCAAGGACTTCATGGCACCTTCACTTCCAGACATCTCTGCCTTGTTACTTTCTGCTCTGTACCATGCCATAGAGGGGAAATGCCAGCATGGTGCAAGAAACTGTATTTTCTGAATTATTAATTCCGTGTAAAGCAAACAAACCCTGATGTGTACCTGCACACCTAACCAAGCAGAAATCCTGAAAAAACAACAACAAAGAGGGCTAAAATTAAATCCACTTCCTTTTAAATATGGAGAAGACCTCTATGGCTTATCAAGATATTGTCTCATTTTTTCTATACCTCTCACTGGAATGGGGATAAAGGCATTGCAGGCAGCTATGACCTCTAACACTTCATAAAAGGAGCAGTGTAAGCACCACACTTTGCAACAACCTCAGAAAAGACTGAGCAATCTGTGTATTTCGACAACCACAGCAAATACACATACTATGGACAAATGAAGAAAAAATAGTTAGCTGGATTAACAACAGGCAGGCAGTGGGGATAATGCCAAGAGTCCTACAGACACATTGCTACAGGAAAAAATGTTTCCTCCTACAGATTGTACTTTCCCATTCCACAAGGCATTGGGAACAGTTTGCAGGAACAGCTTTTTCTTGAAGGAGGTGAAAAGGGAATACAGCACTACTTTGCAGGGCTTGTGGAGCAGACACAGCTCTGATATGAATAGATCAGGGATGCCTCTCCTCGCACAGGATGCGTCACCAAAGGACAACATGTAGGTACCGTACAAGGGGATGGCAAATCAGAGACAACTTGAAATGCAGCAGTAGGAATATTAGTGATGCTGGCACTATAGCTGAGGGCTAGAAACAAGCAGTCTCTTAATAGGAGATGGTGCTAACTAGCCTTCTTCCATCATCGGGACAGTCCATATTGCTGTGTTCAACTCCAGACTGTACAACGTCTTAACGTCCTACTGAAACCACAGAAGACCTGAGTTTTCTGTGTGCTATCTGCTAATCCCAGCTCTCGCAGATACATTCTGCGCTGCCCACTCAGCCAGGACCAAAGCAGCTACTGGGTGGCCTCGTTCACAGGATCGCTGAGGCTGCAGGGAGCCTCTGGAGGTCTCTGGCAAAAGCCCCCTGCTCAAAGCAGGGTCAGCAACAGGGTCAAGTTCACTTGTGCCTCCAAAAGCATCTTCACTTGGCACTGTCTCCCCAGCCACCAAATGGAAAGAAGGCAAAACTCTGTATATTTCTATGGACATCCCCATTTTTTGTGTGTACTTTCTGATAGCTCAGCTAATGACAGGGCATTTATTTCCTGAGAAATAGTTACTGAAGGATGGAAATAACAAATACAGGGAGAGAGAAGGCATTCATGCCAAATTCACTTGAGCACACATATAGTTCAAATATTAGAGATGAGAGATGATGAGATATTAAGGCTTAGTCCCTCAAATGGCTCCATCTAAATTAATGGAGGCTCATCACTTTATACAAGGAATTCCGAGGGGGGTGTGTGTGTGTGTGTGTGTGTGTGTGTATAATATGCTTACACAACTAGATTCTCTCTCAAAAACATACTGCCAGGATCAATAGTGGTCCCAGTTTATCAACCTTTAAAACAAAGTCATTAATTCTCTTTTTAAGAGCAAGCACAAGTTGCAGTGAGCTGCCTAGCCACTGCTTTCAGAGCCCAGGTCTGAATGAGCTTGGCCTACAAGCCTGTAACAAATAAACTGCTTTCTAAATAGAGGCATATTCTTCAAAAGAGTTTTTTTTGCTTAAATAACTAAGACAAATGTCCCATTTACATGTTAATTAAGCTACACAATTCCCACATGCGTTAAAACTACAAAAACCTGTGCTTTACAGTGCACACGGCAATAAATCTTATAATTAAGAAAGGGGAGATCACATTTCTTGGAGAAGATGCTTTTACAGAGTTTTAAGACTCCTTATATAGAGAGAATGAGCAGCTGGATACTGCATACCTGGAGCCAGACCCCAACCTTCCTACAGTCCAGAGCTGCTGCGATACAGAGCACTAGTTGAACTACAATGACTAGTCGAATTACAGTGACTGGAAGTGTCAGACATATTGTGCAATGAACCGATTTGCACAAGATTTGAAAACATACTCAAGGGTAAACCATGCAGACTAGACAGCAATGCAGTCTTTAGATTTGAATTCAAATCTCCTTTTCTCCCAGACTTTCCATCTATAGCTTGTTGTAACCAATTATGCCATAATATAGGCTTGCAGAACCTAAAATTTGTAAAAATGGTTAGGAGAAACATACTCCATGAATACTTCCTTGTTTAGTCTTTCCCCAGCTCATCCATTGGCTTAGGATCAATTGTGTTGGCAAAATAACACAAAGTATTTACCTCTTATGTGTATTTTCCTTATTTATTTTCTTTGAATTTCATCCCTCTTTCCAACTGTCCCTTGCTGCTATGACTGCTCTTGTCTTCAGTACTGCACAAGCAGTCCTTCATCCTGTGAATCTTTAAACAACTTTTGTAACTTCCTGAAATCAATTCTGTAAATTTAACCTCTCTCAAGATTGTGTCCCAGATGTGTAAAATGTGTAATATGATTTGGACAAAAAAAAAAAAAAAAATCCTTCCTTCTTCCCTGCAAAACAGCTTCAGCACAGTTATTGGAGTTGCCAGACAGGGAGAGAGCGCTGGGTGTTTCACTGAACAAGAAAGCTGCGATCTCCATGGCGTCAGTGAGGCTCGTGCCCTTCCATGATGAGGGGAATTTCTGAACTTCAGCCCAACAGTTTCCCACACCGCAGGCTTCTCTCTTCCCCTTCAGGGCACCTCCACTGATACACCAAGTCCAACCATAAGAGAATCACTTTTGCCAATTGTAAATCAAATCCTTTTTTCCTTTTTTTAAATCTACCCTGGTTTTGTGATCATATCTGCTATATGATCTAGGTAGATCACATCTACTATATGATCATAACTACTATAGATCATATCTACTATAGATCTACCTAGATCATATAGTACAGACACATAAATTTAAGGCTGTCCAGAGAACCGCATTGGAAGACAGTGCTTTAATCTTCACTAAGTCACGTCTAACTTTTGTTTACACATGTGATATATTCAAGGCAATGATTATGTAAAGCACCACCATTCTTACTATGTTTGGAAACTTACCCTAAATAATTGTATGGTATGATCACAGAGTGATGCTTGTCATCTTTGGGATACTGAAGATGAGGAAGACACTTGGCAGTAGTACCACAGATTTACATTGTAGCCTGGGCTTAGTGACAATGAATGCACTGGAGATGTCCCACAGCACCTCTGCATCATAACAGAAGAGTTCTCTTCTGTTTCAATATACAAATATACAAGTTGCCTTTGAATGGTCCACTTGATCTTAAAGAATCTGGTTTTCCAAGAAAACACCAAAATACTTTTTTTCTCTTAATTCTCAGGAAAGTTTACATTTTACTTCCGTTTGTTAAATCAGCTGCATCTTATCAATTCTGTCTACCATTTCAGGCACACCAAGCGTGAAATTCATATCCCCCTGAATTCAGTCACCGTTAAACATGGAAACAAGTTTGATCAGCAGAGTCAGTATTTTCTCCGTCCAAGTTAACAAACTCAAACACACAAAGATGAGCACAAAGGTCTCACATAACCGAGGTTTTGCCCACTTTTCAAAAGATTGCAGCTCCAGCAGGCTGATCCCTCCTACAGTAAGCAATAATGGAGATGGGCTTTCAGCTCCACCTCTCTAAGCAACATGTCTGAAAAAAATATGTTAAAAGCTTAAGCTCCTAATGCATTTCCAAAATATCCTTACTACTCCCTTAACTATCTGAAGCACGTGAAATTTCCAGCAGTTCCATTTCCATTTTTCAGAACTTAGCTAGATTTAAAAAAACCAAGATCAGAGCCTATTATTCCACGTAGTAACTTCAAAGTACACATTTGCAGAAATAATTCAGAAATATTTAGACACTAAAAATCCATAGGAAGCAAAGGAGAAATTAAGAAATACTGCAAAAAAAATTGGTTGTTTATTTCCTGTCTACTCTTTATGAGAAAATCTGGGTTTCCTGTCAGTTTTCAGCTTAGGAGGGATTCAGATCAGTATTTAAACTGAAACTTGTCTCTGGTAGATACAGACATTTCATCATTATATTCTCCTACTGAATGGGCAGTATGTCGCATGAGGTGTACCATATCTTCATTATAAATGTGCTGTGCTGTAATGGCTAACAAGAAAAATTATAAATTATCTACTTAAGCAAAAACAGCTAGTATATTAAGGGGATGACATGTTCTGATGAATCAAATAATTTTTCCTTCTCTTTCATTCCTCTCTAAAACTTCAAAGCAATCAAATGTTGTTTATGCATAAAATTTAATCCTTTCACCAATCTGTAGTTTGATTGAATTTGCATACTCTATTTCCTACAAGTCAATGTGAAGAGAGCCTCATGTAATTGAAACCATTTCCCCTCCAGTCCTCCTATCTTTGCTGTAATATTTTCTATTAGTAGCTCTATTATGCCTAATATCTGTAATGTTAGCAGATTAGAATTTTCACTTAATGCCACCGGTATTTATAAACCACTAGGATAGAAAAAAGAACAAATACAAGAAAAAGGAAACAATAATTACCTGTCTTTGATGCCACACAGATCAATGTGTAAATCACTAAAATTCCCCAGGGAGCCTTGCTGAACTAAAATGAGGTCCTTGGGCTGGTTATCAATAAAGATGAGCCTCATACAGCCTTGAAAAGCAGTAATGGGATTTAAACATTGGGAATCGGTGAAATTGTCAGGGCACCCTGTGGGAAAAAGAGAAGAGGCAGAGATGAATATTGGAATGTTCATCTATTTCTGCTGGGATTTCCTGATGCAAGAATTCGGAGGCTCATTATTCCAAGTGTTTTCATTCCTTGTGCTACGCAACCTTTTGTGTTATAAATCCTTCAGTAAGAAAAAACAATAATTAAATTGTCTTTTTTAAAAAAGAGAAAAAAAACTGAGAGAGCAGTCATTGGAAACATCAGAGTATGTGGGTTTCACATGTGCTAAGCAAAATCAAAACGTGGTTTTTTCCATCTTCTTTAAACTCCACAGTTGATAGCAACTGCCTCCTATAACAAAAAGCTGTGCAAATTGTAAAATCATTCTGGGTTAAATTCTGCTGCTGAGGCAATCCGCAGAGTAAAAGGATGAAATCCTGTGGACAGCAAGCAAGAAAACCATTTGTATCTGAGCTTCCTCAGTATTTGGCCAGCTCTGAGATCCAAAGCCTCCTATGCGTCCTCGCTTAGTGCTGTATCCAGAGGGTTCACTGAGATCAGAGCCTCATTGCGGTAAGCACTACACAGAAAGATATTAGATAAAAAGACAGTTGATGACACTCCCTTTATCTAAATTAATTTTTCCACTCCAAAAAGTAGAAGGTAGTATTTTTCAAGACTATTCTTTCCATTTTCAAAATTGAGCTAAACCTACATTCATTTCTGTGAGAGCACAGTACCTAAATATCATTGTAGATCTGATCCATATGTCAATTAAGCTCTGAAGTCTAAAGTCACTGAGCCTGATAAGGACAGTGATATCTACAGGAATATTAATAATACTAATAGTCCTCAGGCCTTTTAACTAGAAAAAACACTTGTGGCTAATACAGCTATGTAGCTTTTGTGTGTTCTGCCAGCTAGATGTAGGTACCCATTGGCTACCACTACAAGTAGTCCACTTTTTCAGCTGTGTTAGCGGTTCTGCTCGTTCTCTCTCTGTCAGGGTTGACCAAGACCCTTCAATCTTCCCACAGTGCTGCATGCACTGCAACTCAATAGGGGGTCTAAAAACATTTGCTTTTAGCTGCAAACAGTGCACTTGGGGAGACATCAATGGTGAGCACCTGAGGATCTGCATCATGAAAACCTGTCCTTCATCTGTCTGAAACAACCTACCTCCAAAATAGTAGCTGTTCCCAGAGTAGATCCTTGAGACGGTGGTTGCATGGCTAGCAGTGGCAGCGTTGTTATCCAGTGTCAGGGTAATGCGATGTCTTCTGGCATTGATGTTAACAGAATGCCAAAGCCCATCGTGGAGATTTGTGCCTGGCAAAAAACAAGTATGAAGAGTGAAAAAAGAAGTGCAGGAGACAACTGTGTTCTTCAAACCTCCTTTTGCTTCCAACTTGTGACCACAAATGTGCAGCTGACCCCAAAATAGGGAGAACTGGCAGCTGAAAAGAACTCATTACCTCTGGAAACAAACTGGCATAGAAGAAAAGGCACAAGAAAGAGAAAGCTTTTGAGAGTGTTTAAGTACATCATCTCACATTTTCATCTAACCTGTTTCTGGTACTGCAGGTGCTCAGCAAGCTAGGAAGGCCCTTCACCTTTCTTGTAGCACATTATTACCATTTTGTGGGTGTTTATGTCTTATTTTCAGTATGTTGGAGAATGCTTACAGCTCACAGGAGCACGCAGAAAAGATCTCTGTTGAGCTTCTGGTACTAAACACATACCTGAGATTGCAGAGGATTAGATTCAGTGAGATGGTCATACCCTGTCTCAGGCTCCAATATGAAACCTGACAAACTCCAGCAGGTACCAGTAGGATTTGTGTTCCTTAAAACCCTTCAGCACTAAGTTAGCGTGCAGTCTTATTGATGGATGTACCGAAGCCTTTCTATATTAGATTTCGACACGGGTCTTGTGAGAGCTGAGATTGTGGCTCTGACCAGGAACCTATGAAGGTACATGAGATATTATGGTACTGGGTAGCCTCCTTCTCTTCTAGACACTTGTGCAAAGTGGGAAATAACCTCTCTGTTTCCTTATTCTGAAAATCAGTGTTGCATCTCACGGCTTTTGAAATAGCATCACAGAGCTACAAAGAAACTCTATTCTGACAGCCATGAAAATCAGTGGGCAAGCTTCTGAGCTCACACACAGTGGTGCAGATCAAAAGTAACCTAATTACAGCTCAAAATACGCTACCGTCAGGCTGGAGTCACCAAGACCAGGCGCAGACAACTAGTATTTACTCCCCTCCCTAATGGTGTATTTTTTGCTACTGTAGCTTTCAGAAGAAACAAATGAGCACTTAGTGACACAAAGAGGTGTGAGAACAGTTCAAAACAAAATTTAAAAATTGTGGGTGTTATGTGTATGAAAAGCCATTTCCTTATGAATTTGAAAATGAGACAATTTATACAGCAATGGCTGTTAACTCATGCACGATTTCCATAGAATAAGAGGCTGGCTTCCCAGAAAGAATGGATGATTTTTCAACTAGAACAAGTCCATTTTGAAGTGAAATATGTCGTTGAAGTTTGGAAAGATGTCAAAACAATATAGGTCCCATTCGGGGCAAAAACAGGCCCATTCTTGAGCAAGCATGAGTTTATTGTGAGTACCTGACATCTGCAGAACATGGCACTTGCAATTTCTGCATATTTTCCATGTGTAAGTAGGCAGTTGAGCAATGTTTTGGATAGCACCAAAGGCTGGGCTCAGGTTCATGATTTCAGAACTACATAAAATCAAATACACCCAACCAAATATTGACATTGTCTCAGCTTTATCAACAATTTAATTAGGACTGCAATAAAGGCTGGAAACTCAGTTTTCAGCATTCAGTTACAGCAAGCTAAGGCTGTAGCAATCTACATGAATAAGGATAGATGCAGGGCTGCCTCATTTTCTGTCATAAAGAGGAATGAAACATGCATACGGAACAGCTCTGCTTTGACAACTTCATCAGATTTTATCTGCTTCTTTTAATAGACACATCTGCCCTCTTTTAGTCTGTACTGGGAATTTTTAATATTATGTATTTTTAAACAGCTGCTCTTTTAGAAAGTACTATTATTATTATTATTATTATTATTATTATTATTATTTAGTTCCATCTGAGTTCCATCAGTATATTACTCATCCACATTTGGAAACTGGGTATTCAACCTACGCAGAAAATGAATTTCCCAGTCTCACACCCAGCATGGCTGCATAGCAGCAAGGGATGTGCAGAGGCCCTGGGCCAAGAACATTTCTGTTTGGGATGCCAGCATGGTTTATACAGGTCACACTGGGACAGCAGCTGAGCCACTCTGGTCCTGCCTCTGTTGTACAGTCTGAAATTGTTTCCCTGTTGTCTCTGGGAGCCAATGCATAGCTGTTCTGGTAAGTATTTACGAGCAATTTCCCCTGAATTTTAGGTCAGAGCGGCAGTGCCGTTTCACCCTCTTGCATCCCGCCAGCTGCACAAAGCAACTTGCAAACTGGCTGAGGAGGCCAATGAGGGAGTGTGAGGAGAGGAAGCCCATAGTCAGTCTCTCTTCTGAGCGTAGCGTAAAGGGAGAGTGTAAAGCTACAGTCAGAGGAAGAAAATCAGCTCTGATGCTGCCTTAACTTGTGCTGGGGAATGGTGCAGCAGCTGAGCTGGCTCCCAGCTGACTTCAGCACAATCTGAGGATGGGAAACAAGAAGGTCTTCATGTGACCTGGCTGAAGAAAATTTAGCATGACTGTTTAAGAACACAGAGGCTGAGCTAATTGTCAGGTACATTGAGTCTGGAGATCTCAGGATGCCAACTTTCCATGCTTAGGCCTGCCTCAAGCTGCACAGAGTGGTTCTACCACTGGAAAGCAAGAGAAAATTTGAAAAGAGAAAGGAAGATTGGGTGCTTCCTTATTTCACCATCCTTTCATCCTGTGGGGTTGGACCTTGGTATTTTAAAGAGGGACAGATGAGACTAAACAAAACTAAAGTACCTTCACTGATTTCCACTGGGTTCTCTGTCTGTTTCTGAATAAGTAGCGTCAATCTTCCACTATGAAGGTAAACCAAGAGAGGTCCCGAATTTTCAGACAATTCGGTGAACAGAAGTAAGCCGTCTTTATTCCATGTTCGAAACTGGAAGCCCACTGACAAACCATCAATCTGAGGAGTGCCAGGTAATAGCAAGTAGCTTTGACTGCTGCTGACAAAGGTGATAGGAACAATTTGTGGTTCTGAGCAGGAAAAGGTCACATTTCCCTGCAAATAATAAAAATCAAACATGATTAATCAACATGACAATTTTTTTTTTGGTCATCCCAAAACATCCATAGTTAAATAAGCTCATTGGATTTCTAATGGCCCTCAAGGCTGAAATAGGTATTGTTATTCAGACACAAATCTTTGGAACTCATTAGGAAATGTATCTGCCCATTCTGGGAAAGTCAGATGCGTTCATCTGACTTCAAAATTTTACTTTAACCCCAAATGGAGGGGGGGAGGGGATCAAAAATCAAAACCTCAATTCTTAGAAGGATCAAAACACATCCAAATGTCCCATATCAAGACCACACCTGGGTGCAGAAGGGCTCATTTGGTAGCCCAGACAGACCATCTCCACATGGCCACATCTGCTTTGTGTTTCCCAGCACCTCCCATTTCAAGCTCAAGTTTAGCTTTATGTCAATAAAACCAAACTCTTTTGGATCTATGTTGACTTCAGGAACTGACACTGAAGCACTAGCAAGTCCACTTGAACCTTCACGTGCTGCGGGATGTGATACAAATGTCCTGCGTCGGCTCTGCACTGATGGGACTACGGGTGTGTGAACAAGGCAAGCTGCAAGTGAAAAAACAAAGCATCCTCCAATACACAGGGATCCAACCAAACAGAGTAGATTTATTCTAAATATAAGCCAAAATGCAGCCCTTATGACAGTACTTTTTTGCCCATTTACACCAATGCTACATAACCTTAAAAGTAAAAACTCCCTCATCTACTTGAATCTACTACATGGGGCGAAAAATGAGGCAAATTTCCTGTGTTTATTTCCAATATTCAATATATAACTTGCAGTAGCAGTACTGGTTATGTTTTCTTTTACTCAGTGACCCAGCCCTGTGCTAATAGAAGTCCACTTAATAATAATAACACCACATATAATTAAAAATTATTCTGAAATTATTTCAAAATTCATAAGAAAACTCAAAGAAAAAGTAACTTGAATACAGTATTTACAGTGGGATGAAACAATAGTGAGATTTCCTGGCTAGTTCTAGGTCTCATGGTTTCCATGGGGCATTTTGAGGAATTATTAAAACATTACATACTCAGCAAGCCTGGTGAAATCCAACACCATTTCAATGCCAAACTTAGTTGATTACCTCAGTCATCCAGCCCTGAAATCAATGGTGCTATTTGCCCAGAAGAGCAGCACATTTACTCAAAGCAGTCAGCAGAATCTGTACCAGCATGTATCGCTGTAGTCTGTAGATGAACCGACTCCACCGTTCTGTTCAGTCATTGTAGATTACTGAACCAGGTCATTCAAGCCGTGTAATAAAACCTTAACAACATATAAAGCCGGGATGCATTTAAGGAGCCATGTCTTTCAAAGCCACTCCAGGAGATTGTTGCAGCCAGCTTGCTTTGAATTAGGCTGTTTTGTAAAATACCAACTGGAATCTGATAAAAACATCGGAGTAAAAGGCTTTCTCCATGGCACCACTTCTCATCAGAGCTGGTACCTCACTCTAACAGGATAATTACAATGAACAGCACTTGATGGACGTGTAGGAAGTTGCACAGTGCTTGGGGAATTCCTCTCTGAAATCTCAGACAGCTGATGGAACTGTTCCCTATCACTTTCAAATATCTTTCTAGTCTTTATTTTAAAATTGAAAATAAATAAAGTGCCAGAAAGAGACTGAGTTATCACTGGATGAAACAACCCTTGATAGATATCTATCTGTATCAAGCTATTTACATATTCCCTGCCCTGTTAGGTGCAGAGTGCCACATACCAGATTTAGCAATGGCAAAAGGTATCCATGGGTATAACATGTTAGAATGAGTTTTGAGATACAGTCCAAAGCTTATCCAAACTCACCTGAACATTAGTCAGGTGGGAAGTAGAACAGAAATTTGCTCTCAATCTTTTAAAAGTTTCTACTACCTGCTGGGTTTTGCCTGCATAAGAGATACCACAGACTTTGTTGTTGTTGTTGTTGTTGTCTTATTTCCACTTCCATTTTCAATTGAATTCATGAAAAATTACACAAAACAAAGACAGTCAACTGCAGTGATATAAATAAATATGGTTAACTTTCTCTAGAGCTTTTCAAAGGTTTAAACATTTAAAATGACGATGACAAATTTTCTTTGGAATTTTAGACATGTACAGTGATTCACGTAACTCCACACAAAGTAGTAAGACATTTACAGATCTCATACATACATAACACCAGAGTTTGGAAGAAAGTTCAAACGTTATCTGAATCTGCACTCAAGTATCTTATTTGCTTCACTGGCAGTGGGAGGCTGTAACAAAATGCAAGACTGTAGAGGGGAGGATTTGCAACATTCAGATAGCATTTTTTACTTAAAACTCTGCAGATTTTACCTACCAGCAGAACAAGCTATGCCTAGCCTGACTTAATGGTGCTGAGAAGGTGAATGCTAGGTCGAAAAAAACGTGTTTGCAATGCACAATAAACTTTCAGACAACCTTAAAATAAGCCAGTAAAGACCCCATGTAGTCAATATGCTTTCAGCTATTTGTAGCAGCACCATAGCAAAGTATCCCTGATGCATACACATGGGCCCAAATGTAAGGTCAAATTTCTGTCTGCTTTTGCTATGAGGTTCTCAGCACAGTCCTAAACTCATAGATTGCTGTGACCCCTTGAAAAACTCAGCAACACTCCCTAGTCATTCACACTAGCTAGTAATTCATGCCATCTGGGATCCACACAGAAGTGTTGTACTGGGACAGGAGCAGCAAAGAGTGCTGACTGAACCCATAGCCAATGCTGGGACATATGGGCAGGGCCTGTGCTTCTCCTCCCATGATTAACCAGGTAAGACTTCAGGCTCTGTAGCCTCTCCATTGAGTACACTGAAGCAGAGCAGATGTGATCCCACCTGCCACAAGAACAAGCAGGTGGGAATGCATAAAGGCAGTGCTGCAATATTCTGTCTACATGGGACTAAAGGTACATTTCAGGGATAGAAAAGAGGTGTGTTGGGGGGAGGGGGGGTCTTTTAACAAGGTATTTTTGTTACTCTTATTAAAGAATTGAGATCTCCATGATGTAAGGGGAACTAACTAATTTTAGTCAGAGCTAAAAACTAGCCAGGGCATTTGTGAAAAAATGTTAAATAAACCAGCTGATGCCATGGGAACTTAAATCAGTTCAACTGACTCATTTAGAAGGGAAAAACCTTCTTAAAGCAGCATTCCAGAGCAAAACCAGATGATGTAGCTAATACACATGAACAATAGCCGCTGACATCCTTACACTGACTGATGCTGCCTACCTTCCTAGAGACAATAGCATGAAAATTTGAAAAAGAAATACACAATGGTTACTTTGAAAAATGTTCATCCACTGAAGTGGGACAGGTTCCCATTACAGAAAGTGTTAAATTTGCCCTGAATGTTATTCTCAAACATATTATTCCAGCAGGTCTAAGTCAGAAAAGTAAACAGCTCCCCCGAAACCTGCATCTGATCAGGAGCATTTTGCTTTAATTGGCAGCAGTTCTGGAACTCTCCAAGGTATATACAAGACTTCTGACAGACACTTGATTTTATAACTGAACCCAGTTTAACAGAAAAGTAAAATCTCATTGGCTAGGAAATGGAATAAGAAGAGTCTAATCCCTAGAGAAAATAAAGGAGATGCTCAGTCCTACCCAGCTGCTGGAAACTGCAGCTATCATATAGCGTTTGAGAATTCCATCGAGTCCATTGTCTCCAGACTGATTAATGACTCCTCCGATAAGCAGTGAAATCTTTCCAAAAGAGTTCTTATTGTTCTTACAAGTGGAACCTTCTGAACCTAGAAATGCAATGGAGTTATTTGCAATTTGTTCACCAGCTGCCATGACACTTGTCTCGAGACAAGAGTGCAAGCACCCAGATTTCTGCAGATGGAGTACGGTTACAAAGGTGGTTCTTGTTCAAGATGTTGAATAAACAGGTGACAGTATATTACAGCATTTTAAGGAAGAATCAGAGCTTTTCCTATTAAAAAGAGAACGGAAGAACACAGTTGCTAACTGATGAGGATAAAAGTGGATTACACAGAAGATCCTCTGAGCCATAAGCCTCATCCAAAACTGACTGGAGTCTTTCCAGTGCCTTCTGTGGGACTTCAATAAAACCTGTATAACTTTAATGAACCATTTTGGTCTTTTCTGGCCTTTCTTCATGTAGTATTATGTACTGTTGAATGAAGACAGAAGACTGCTACAACACCACAGTCAGGGCAATTGGTGATAAGTTTCTTATACATCCCCCTTGCTCTCACAGAATACTAATCAAAAATACTATGTATTTGGGGAATTATTCAAACTGACAGCTGAACTGAAATCCTCAACATTTAGCCTACCAAAGGAGACAGGCCAAGGTCACAGCTTGAACAGGAAGAACCATAAATGAGTATTTCTGAGCTTTCATTCTACCTGTGGGTTAGAGCATCAAATGGGCACTTACTTTCCTCATTAATCAGTCTATGGAGTGGATTATATATCGGATAATGACTCTATCCAATATAAAGGATATCTTGTTTTCTGCAGAGGATTAGAAAGGAAGATTTAATCTGACAGGGAAGGGGACTAAAATCACAGGTCTGGCTGAGAAACAAATGTGGGTAAACTGGCAAGAATATCTCCAGCTTGGAAATTGGAGGACTACTTCTAGCTGTGAAGAGACTGAGGTTGCAGACGAATTTGCAAAGAGAGTAACAGAGGAAAAAGGTGACCTCTGATGCAGTTTTAAAAGGATAACATGAAAGATTGTCATTCAACTCTGAGCAACTGGATTTTAAGAATGGGGGAGGTCCCTTCAAATCCTGTTTTTAAACTGACTATCTCAAGCAGAACAGATGTCAGGAGACCCACATAGATTTCAAGTGCTTCTTAAATCAAGACATTGCTAAGCACTGAATGAAAAGCAAATCTAAGTGAGATACCAACTCCAGCCTACTGACATATTGTTGCAAACTGTCTTCAAACAGGATGTGGGAGCACCAAG